GCTCCAAGCTGGTACAGAAAATCCTCCTAAGATTTTGCTTGGTGCATCTTGTTCACATCTCAAACCACCATGACTATGATACTTATGTGTTCAGGTCAGGCACAGATCTGATTTTGTTCTTCTCTTTGTATGTGCTGTTTCCCCTCCCTTTCATTTCAAGGTCAGGGATCAAAGCCTGACTACAGGGAATATCACACTTTATCCACTGCTGGCATATTAAGCTGCTCTGCATTTTTTGAGACACATAAGTTGATTTGAAGACCCAGTATTTTGACCATTACAAAGTGCTTGGACTTTGAAAAAAGTATTTGGATAATATTTTATGATCTCTAACACATAGAAGTGCAGATCAAATAATCTAATAGTCTCTTGTGGCCTTAATTTCTACAAAGCTATGAAAATGAAATTGTATCTTGAAAAATGTAGTTCACTAATTTAGCAGATTATGAACAGCATGAAATTGGAGAATATCCTTTGCTAAAATACACCAGGAATGTGTTGCTATCTATTCCTATCTAAGTTGTTCCAGATGAGAGAAAGTCACCATAGTGAGGTCTCTAACTACACAACAGGTTAAGCAGATACGCATAATGACAGACAGTAAGCTCTCACTTTGTTTAGGAAACATTTTTTCCTTAGCTGAATCAATGTACTGTGTTGCTAATAATTCTCTGTGGAGTGATATTGTGCAGTCAATAATGTCTTTGCAAGTACTTTGAAAATACTACTGTTAAGATTTGTCTACCTTTCAAGAAGAGAGAAAACTTCATCACTTGTCCCATGGACTACTGATTTGTTCTTGCAGCCTGTGAAAAAAAATCTCTCCCCAAGAACTCCCACAACTTTTAGTCACTGCATACCAAACTCCAGCTATCTGGGGGCCAAGCTTCCACACTTCTCAAACCATTTTCTGCTTATCACCCTCCTGCTGGCATGTTTTCCTCACCCAGTGAGAGCAGAGCTGGCACCAGAAGTGGAAAGGCCTTCCTCTCTACTTGATAAGGGTGAATGGCTGGGCTTCCACCAGCACAAACCCCCTGTGGAGGGGGGCAACAAAATGACCCAGAGAAAGTTCAGAGGCTCCCTTTTTGGTACTGCTACAAAGAATTTTGTCTTATCCAAACACCAGGAGATGTATAACACATTGCTTCCTCTTTTTCTCCAGACTGGGTCCTGCTTTTCCAAGAGACACAATGTATTCTGGCACTGTCTACATTAGTGTCACATATACAAACAGAGCCAGCACAATAGCTCTGCTACAATATTTAATCTTTAACGTGTTTAAAGAGCAACTATGACACACCAAGTACTATCATGGTCACCCTGCTTGAACTAACTTTGGATATTTATTAGCGCTCAGCTGCTTCTTTGACATTATCAACATAGATAAAAATACCTCATTGGGAAATTAAAAAGTACTAAATGCCAGTGACTGAAAGAAACTTTGTTACTTTAAACCTTGCATTAAAATGACAATGCAATCAAAGTTTGACGAGACAAACTAATTAGTATGCCAGCGATGAAATGTGAAGAATCTCCAGGGGATTGGTTCTGAAAAGTTTTATGTCATTTATAGGGCCTTTTTTTAAGCTAATGTTGTCAGCTCTTATGGTGAAATACACAACAGTTGAATTTCATTATCCTCGTAGAAATTAAGGACAAAATCCCTTCACTATTTTCTAGTTCTCGTTTTTCCTGCCCTAAATACTACACTAAGTCTTAGTTTACATCCAGGCATGTAATTTCTTCAGGACAGTAATGCAAAACAACCCTAGAGTTATCAATGACATAAAAAAGCCTACAGTTTTAAGTGGCTGTATGGTGCTTATTGGGTTAGCTTATTGTGTGTATGGATTTCACAGAACTACAAACATATTCCCCTTTCCCAGAGAGTTTATACTTTTACATTTATCCTTCCATTACAACATTTTTATTAGCTTCACCTTAGCTTTTTATAATAAAAGGTTAATTTATTTTAAAATGTTGCATATTGCATCATGTACTGAATAGATACGTATATAAACAAAGTACATTCCAAATACACATATGTGTCTTCTCACAGATTTAGAAGAACTTTGGACATTTCTATTTAAAGTGCCCACTTATTACATTGCATTGTAGTTATATCACTTTTTTTTCCTCTCAACACAGATTTAAGATAATCAATTTCTACAGCACAGAATTAGGGCCTATATAATAAAAAAACCCTAAAATCCCAGCCTTTGGAAGGTGAATCGTGTCACTTACTAACATTACTCATCCCAGGGAAAAGGAGGAGCTCTTAAAAAACAGTGGGGAGTGGAATTGCATTTCTGCTTGGGATGGCAGGTGAATTCCCTGCTGACCTACCTCACCTCTCCAGGTGCCCTTAAAGAGCAGACATGAGACTCTGGAATCTGAGGACCAGGGAGATGAGAATGTAGATGAAGATACATCCAGTGCACATCCTAGTGCAGGGCAACCTACCCTGCATATCAAAACCTCCTCAATTCAGAAAAAAATAAGGTCAATAGTCATTAGGGACTCCAATATGCCACCTGGACCCAGCCCATAGGTAGGTATGTGAGCCTCTGGGAAACCACCAACAAAATTCCCAGCTTGGCATGGCCCACTGACCATTGCCCACTGGTTTTCGAGGCAGACAAATACAAAGTCCCAACAAGACTAAGGATGAACAAGCGTGACCTCAGGGCATTGAGACAACTGGTCAAAGGATCTGAAGAACTATTTGTGTTTTCTTCTGTCCTGCCAGTTGCTGTCACACCAAACATAAGTTGTCAAGAATAATTTTAAAAAATATCCAGAAAACAACAGAGAAGGATTTAGGATAGGTGTGGAGGATAGATATAAAAAGATGGCACTTGGCAGCTGGAGGATCTTAACACTGAACTGAGCAAAACAAGCTATGCTCGAGAGAGGGGTATAGGTTTTAGGGCTTCACAACTAAGCCTCTCCAGGGGTAAGGAAGGAGATTTCCCTACAGACACTCCAGGAGCATCTACTGCCCATGGTGAATTTCAGCTACTGGAGGGATTGAGCAGGATGAAGAGCTGTCACTGTGAGATGGGAAGAGGTGCACCTTTACCCCAAGACATTAAATACACTTCGCTTCCATGCTGAGCACTGTGGGTCTGTAAGCAGAAGGGCAGAGTTTACTCTACAGAAATTGCCCGTGTTCTGGTAGATTGTAACATTTACTAAGCCAGAGGTTGTTTGCATTAAGCAGGCTCAGTGAGAAGGATGCATATAAAAGCTCTGCTTTTCTTCCCCTACAAGCAAATCCCTGAAGGGAAAGGTGCCTAATTTACCTTCCTTTCTGCTTCAGCTCTGTCAGCTTTTCGGAAGCAAAATAAATTACTGTGATCTATTTGGGGAAGACCCAGACTTTTTTTTAAGGTCCAGAAAAACAAAAGAATATTACAGCTGGAAGAAAATATTTTAGAGATTTTTTTTTTTTTTAAGGCAGAAGCAGAATTGTAAACCTGAGACATCACACAGTACAACTAGCAGAACACACCCATTCAGGACTTGGAGAGCACATGTACATCTTGATGGCAAAAGTCCTTTATTCACTAATACTCAATTCTTCATTACATATATGATTACACATATGCTTTCCCATTCACCCTCATTTTTAGGAAAGAATTACTTAAGAAAATAAGGAAATGAAACAGGTTTTGAAGGACTAAATCTCATACTCTTCTCATTTGTGAAAGACATGCAAAAAATGTGTTCATTTTAAAAGAATTACGCTGAACACTAAGTCTCCAAGTAGAACATCACTTTTAAAAGGTCACGCCATTGAAAGGAAAATGAAAATAAAAAGGAAAAATTAATAAGAAAGGAAAGAAAAGGAACTCAAAAGGTTAATAATTTATCCTTTAAACAAAAAAGGCAATCTACTTTTTCTCATTAAAACCTGACACACAGCACTAACTGAGGAGATTATGTTGTGAAAACATACTGCATCACACAGTAATGCTTGATCGAGATCAGCAATCAGGAGCAAAAAGAAAGCACTGTTTCGTGATTATAATAGCAAATTCTGGAAGACAACCAAATACATCATCTGGCAGCCTAACAGCTGTTACAGCTTGGTAGTAATACCTTGGCATTTGCTATAAGCTATAACTTGAAAAAAATTGATTTCTCATCTGCCAGAAACAAGAAACATTCTCCTTTTAACATTTCTGAAGTTTCTTTTACTAGAATACCTAGATAATGGATCTACTTTTTTCTTTTCCTCAGGTTTTACTCTTGCTGTTAACAGTGTATCAGTTAGATTAAAAAAAAATAAATCTGAGGAAAAAATACTGGAGGCAACATAAATAATGTGTGTTCAGCTAGATCCTGTTTTGATGACACACTGGGTAGTAGATAACAGAGAATATTCCTAATTGTCCTCCTTGCTCATATTCACAGTTGTGATCTAAAGTAATTGTTATACTTCATACCTGCCTGAAAAGGGAACATTTTCAAAATAAAGTTTAGTATCTTTCCATATGCTTTCCTTTGCTGTTAGTTAAGCCTTCTTTTTCCTAGTCCGAAGTAGTACACAAGGATGCAGAGTGAGACAGTAATGCTGAGAATTAACAATACTTAACAAACCCAGTCTTTAAATTACTACTGGCATAGGATGAGAAGAGGAACTGTTTATTGTAATTTGTCTAACTATACAAAATAGTTAAATAATTTGTTCTGTGTGTAGACAGGCTCCCTAAAACCATCAATTTTCTAACCACACAGTACTTTAAACCTTAAAGTAAGCATGCATCATTAACAAGGACATACACTATGTAAAATCTTTCAGCACTTCAAATATTCAAGTCATTTTAGGGTTAAGTAAAAGCAGTTAATCATAAATATTTTAGATTCTAGCATTCTACTTAGATTTTGAAATGTCATAAACAATATCTCTCAGAAATCAATATTCACACAGTACATCTATGGGGAAACGAAACAAACACAAAGGTGGTTTGAGCTATCAAAGAAGTCTCTACCTTTACGCCTAGTGCAGTTTTCTTGGCCTCTGCTTTTAATCTTGTAGCTCTTAACATAGGCCTGGTTTTCTTATAATCTTGTTTCCCTAGAGTAAAAAAGCATATTCAATGAAAACAATGCAAAAATAATATAAAGAACATGAGCATTTATTTCAGTTGAAAAGTCTGATTCAACATATTAAAAACATCCCACAGTCCAGCATTTTAAAGAACAGCTACTCTATCACAAAGGGATTCAATCTGTGGAACAACCATGCTTAACACAGACACTGACAGAAACAAGATCTGACAAATCAGTGCAGAACCTGTTACTCCAGAGTGATATCAAAATACATCTATAGATAGATATCCACTAGTACAATGTTTAATAAATTGCTCCATAGGAATCAGTCAGCAAATAAGTAGATTAAAAGTAGATTATGCTTTTCTCTCTTATTGAAATCAAAACAAAAATTTCCATTAGAATTTTTCTTGGTTAGTCATCCCTAACACACATATAAATGTGCAAGATAAGACATTCTGGTGAATGTAAAGGTTTGTAATTCTGAACGAAAACATTATTTGCAGGTATCAGAACGCAGATATGGAGATCAGTCTAAGTAAATGCTAATAAAATCATTGCTTGACACCATCTTCTTGTAAAAATATGTTACACAAAACTTTCTAGATTAACTTTCAACAAGTTACAGGGACTATCTCTTGCAGCCACAAAGAATGCAGCCCAGGGCTTGAATACAACGAGTCTATATGAACTGACTTCAGAGGAGGACATGTAAGCATTCAGAAATGGTAGAAATGGTATAAATCACTTATCTCAACTTAATAACAAAGCATAAGACACCTGATATCTCTCAGGGATATTTCTGCTGTCTGAAAGGCCTGTTACTGTTTTATTATGAACTCTTAACCATAGCTTGTTTAAGTTAACAGAAGTCAAGGTACAGATACAGTCACAAAAGGAGAAGAAAAAGAAGAATCTGTGAAGAAACTGCTCAGAGGGATACAGCCTCAGTACAACTCCTTTGGCTTTTTAAGAAGTCCTTTTTATTTTTTCCCTCCTAATGCGTACTTATCTTTTTTTCTCTATGCCTAATTTGAAAGCTAAACTATAATGCTTAAAACAGAGTGTCTGGCCTTTTTCAAATCACAAAGTTTACCTAATTGTATATTAGCTTTCTTTACTGTTACAGTCAAATAGTTTAACCTTTCCTCTAAAATTTTGTCCAGTTGTTTTGTATACAAAAATTCCATTTATCCAAGCAGATGTGATTTTACATTCATAATCAATAATGCAAACTTTGCATTTTATGGCTACCTTGAAAACTGGGACATTATTGTGCAGTGATGAAATTCTGAAATGTGAATGTCTCTTTCCAGTAATACACTGGATTCATGGAAAACCATTTCTGACTTTGTCTACTCCTTGTATCACCCTGCTCACACTCAATACAGAGACTGTCGTGTAGCATAACATGAATACTGAACTTGCATTAAGAATTTGCTTTCATTATATAATCTCTCCTCAGTCCTATGGATTATATACTGGGAAGGTCTCCATACTATTCTTCAGTCAGATATTATTCATGAAAGACTTGAAATAACTTAAAAATACTCAATAACAAATGAAAACATAACTGAAACCATATGTATTACGAAAAAAAAAAAAAAAAGCAGCATATATACAAGGAAACTCAGAAGACAGAGTGAAGAAAGGATGACAGAAAGATGATTTATGTCAGAGGCTCCAATATATTCATCCAGTCAATATATCTTATTATCAGGACAGGACTACTGCAGCATTATTTTTCAGAAGTCAGTAATATCTGATAATACTATGCATCAGGAGTACAATAATTTTTTAGAACAGCTGGAGAAAGACTTGCAGAAACCACAAAAATGGCTAAGTCATGAGATGACACCAGCCAGAGTGAGAATGTGTTTCTTCTCCCTAAAGTCCCACACTCATACTTTCGCCATGAAATAGTTAAAAGATCTTTCAGAATTTCCATTACAAATGGCAGGAGTTTATTACTCATAAAAATACATTCCAGGCTGAAATTTGGCTTAGACACACCACAGCCTTGAATTTTTTTGTTTGTTTGTTGGGAGCCAACTTTCATAAGTGATGCAGCTGTTCTTACTTACTTGTGAACAAACTATAGAAATGTATCAATCTGAAATGTTTTAAGCATGAAAAATATCTTCATTTAGAACTATATAACTGACAAGCGCTAAGTTCAATCTCAGTTCTCATAATTCAGGTTTGCTGCTCTTCCATCAGGGGTAAATGAAACAAGACAGTCAGAAATTTCCCTTCCAGTGATGCAAGAGCATTAGATAACGAAAACTAGAAATCCTGGTAAGGTCCACTAGGAATGGGACACAAGTCAGCTAGTAAAACCCACCTCCCTTTCCTCCCATTGCCCATTCTCCCTCCTCTTCTCCACAGCTCAAGTGTGAAGGTGACACAAGCAGGAGCAAATACTGCATAGAAGACCCAGACTGTCAAATACATGTACAGGCAGAAATATGTTTATTAATCCAAATGAGAAAGCTTACTGGTGCTCTTTCCCTTGGTTTCCAGCACCCTGCTACTCTTTATTCCAGCATCATGGCTACAGCTAAGACTATATTCTACTTATGTAGAGAATATTTCCAGATTTATATTAAGTCTGATACTAACAACTAACCCTCCTATAACAACCAGGCTATTTCAGTGATGACTCTAGAACTGGTAGCTCTCCAAATCCATGCACCTGCCATTAATTTAGCACTCCTTGCTAAATGTAATAGCCAAAAGGAAAAAAATATGGTAGGGAAACAGTCTGAGTCCACCAAGTGCAAAAGTTTAAAAAGGGCATCTGTGGACTTCTTTGTAATGAAAACCAGATTCAGCAATCGTACTAAAAGACTCTTAAAACATGTGAACTTTCTGAGGCCTTGGGAAAGACATCTGCACTACAGGACTACAAAGAACAATGAAATACAAAGCTCCTGTCACGTGAATACTGATCATTACCACCTGGAAAACAAGCAGAAAAAAGTAATACAGGCTCCCGACAACCTCCTTTCTTTCGGGCTTGCAAATTCAACCAGTTCGGATAAGTATATTCACACTCTCAATGTCTTCTAGTTTTATCTCATTTATTCTGCGAGCTGTTTTGTACATTTATCTGTCAGAGTTACCAGTTTAAGCTATTTCTTCTTAGGAAGTGATCATCAAAGCCAGCTGAGACAGACTCATCAGACAAAGTTCCATTTGTCTGCTTTATCCAATGGCTATCTGAGACACCAAGTTTTACTGATGGAATGTATTAAGGCAAGAAGAAGGCAAAAAGATACCACTTGAAGAATTCCAGACCAAATCTTACTTTTCTTATTAAACATAATCCTTACCTCTTTGACTAGTCATTATTGTTACCGAATTATCATCTCTTCTCTCAAACTCCAAACTCTAGTGCCAGCTTCCCTAAACTTTTTTTATAACTACCGCTATTTATTTATTTTTAAATGAATGCACTACTTGTTTCCTTTTTCAGGTCCACCACTTCCTTTCTATTTTTAAGGCCAAAGACTTAAAGCACTCCATGATAAGGCAACTATTTTTACTGACTACAGATCTCTGTCCTGCTTCCTGACAGTCCCTCCGAAGATCATCCACCTTCCCATCCATTTCTTGAAATAGCCTTTCCCTTTCAGAAACTCCACAGAGCTTGCCTTGCACCTCGTCCCTTCCTTCCATCCTTCTCTTCTTTGGTGGCAAAGTGACCTCAATAGTACCTGAACTGAGCTGTGCCATATTTACAGATCCTGTTTCTATCTGTTCCTCACATGGAAATGAAGACTGTTTTACTAGCTGTAGGATTAGAATAGGGTGAAGGTAAGGGAGTTTTTTAGCTACTAAAACAGCTATGTTGTGAAAATTGACAAAGGGTGCTTCCCTCAGAGTGGATATTAGAGATTCATACAACATGCAAAGCGAGTTTGTTTCTCTCCATGTAACTAGGAATAAAAATCTATGCATTTTACAATATTTTTTAATTTAACTTTGCTTACAAGGGAAATTGAGATCCCATACATCTTCTATCAATAATTGTAATAACATATTAGAGATGACATGATCTTATATATTCAGTATTCTTTTTAATTAAAACCTCCAATGACATGACAATAAACACAAAAAAAATGAAATAATATGTGTATGTTAGGCAAGTTCATTTAAGTTCTGGATTAATTCTTTTTTTTAGTCTACAGAAATACTGTGACACTGCCAGGTAGTATGCACAACACTGTACCTCTGCATACATACCAAGCTCCTTTATACATGCAACCGAGAATGCAGGCTGTTGAGCACTGTATTACGGAAAACTGACTGCATTTACAATTGCGTTTAAAGATGTTGCTGTATAAGATACAACCTGAAAAAAATCTACAAAAAAACTGAGAAAAAAAAATTGTATTTCTAACCCTTCTAGATATTTACTCTTTCATTCTAACAATAGCTCATTACTGGAATTGAATAACGGACTAAAGACTGCCTCTCTGCTTTTCAATTCATCAGGCTTAAGCAGAAACAGGACTGCATCTTTGGCTTTTGTTGATGCTGCTGTCCAAGCTTATTATCATATGAATATCTAGTTATTGTTTTATAAATGTTCACATTTCAGGAGCTCCCTGCTTTCTTTTCTCTCAGCAGACTTTACAATATCCACCTTCATTATCATCATGTGGCAGCATTGCTCTTCGCCTGCATTTGCTACTTTAAAAATTAATGCACTGCTATTTTCTGAATACTGTACTGCGTAAGCTGCTTATGAGTACATTATGCTATCAAGCAAGCACATGCAGAAAAGCTTCCTAAACTGTTATTCTTTCAATGAAAATACAGCTGGTTCTGCTTCAAAGGCACTTCTTTTCACCTGCAAATGGACTTGCTTCTACACTTATTCCTCAATTCATTGTCTTTTATTTGTGTCTGCAAATCTTTAATTGCCTTTAATTAGAAAGAAGTAAATTCAGTGCTTTAATCTTGCAAATACATTCAATCATAATTCTGTCTGGGATGAATACCAAGTTCTATTCACTG